AATGCTCTTTGTCATAACTTCACGAACAATGCACGTGCGTGTCACACAAGTGTTTTTGACCCCCAGTGTGTCACTTACATGCGCAAATCACGAGGAAATCAGTGTGATTATGGTCTATTATGCTGTATAACGCACTTCGATCTGGTTGCAATTTCCCCGCCAAAGATTTCTAGACTGATAGTCCTTTACTCGCACAAATCTCCACCTTTAAGCAATGCATACGCGTAACAGACATGTAGGTCAAAATCACATGTTTTACATAGCAGTCCGCGTTAATACATCCAGTCATAAATTAAATTTTGCATTTTACATAACATTCACAAATTAATCATTGCGGAAGTTAGCACAATCCATTCCAAGAATCAAACTCGCGCTTTCCAAGAATTGAATTCGTTTCCGGTTAAGTTGCAAATGTTCTTCTGCTGCAATGTTATTGGCTGAGATTTGTCCTTTTCTTAGAATTCACTTATGTTTCAAAGAATGAGTTTCTCTTCTTAACAATGTGAAGCGCCAACACAGCAGGCAAGAAGTGAATGTTTGCAGCAGGCGTTTAAAAGAATTCAAGTTTAAAGAGTAAATTGGATGTCACGCTATAAAAGGTAAGTGTCGCGCTTGATTTACTTGTTACATTTCAATCTGCTGAAGACTCGCACGGTAACATAGTCTTCACGTCCAAATCAACGCTGAACTTTGGTCCTTGTTGCTGCCTGCTTCAAGATTTGGTCTGATATTCACAGGAATTTGCTCACAGCCGGTCAGAAGATATAGTTGATATAGACTCATTCGCTCAGGACCAGCAGCTGAAATATCGTGAACTCTATTTTCTTAGAAACTATTCATGATTCTTGCATTTCTCAGAATTGCGGCAAACAGTTAAATCTATTGTACTAAAACAATCAATAATTCACGCAAACTGATCTCTATGAAAGTGACCATCAGAATTTTAGCTCGTCCAGTCTTTTTACTATTTTACTCACTGCAAGAGATTCCGGCAGGGCTTATATCGAGTTGAACAACTGAACATGCACTACGAGGATATGGGAGCCTTCAGAATGCCCCGCCGGAACGTAATAATAAATCATGGGCTACATTCTTTAATCAGAGCGTTGAACTTACTTCGAATTCGACAAGTTATTATTGCTGAGGTTCTTTTTATAAAATAATGTTTAATACCATCATCATCCTTAAAAATACGAAGGAAAATCGAACCTTAAACTGTTAAAAATTGTTTTATCAGGAAGCGAGAGTCGGTGTACTTCAAAAGTATGTGGCCTAGTGAGAGGTAGCGTGTTTCAATATATTTACGAAGATTTCATTTTCATTCTGAAGACAACCTTGTCTTCTTGACGGAATCTTACTACGGATAAACAGAGCAAAATATAACAACATTACATCTTGAATTATTCATGTGTCAAACTGCATTCGCTTGAGCAGGACCACCATTACTTCGCTTCTCAAAGATCCGGAAACGAACTCAGTGCTGTAAAGAGGATTATTGACTCGTTTGATTTATATCTAAACTCAAATTCCTCGTGGCTTTTGGCATCTGAGAAGAACCATACCGACATCTGATGATCAAAGTCGCAAGTAAAGGATAACTTATATTTGTTTCTCCGTCAAGGCAGTACGGCCATGTTGAAACCTCGAGCACAGTATCGTTTGACTGAAAACGGACCAGGACTATTTGATCTTCTAAAACGTCTTGCAAAAACTTGAACAACTAATCACTCTGTGCACCAATTACTTAAATTCCTTAAATGAGCATCGGTTGAAGAGTCAGTGCTCTGCATAACTATATAAATGAAACTAGTTTCCTCTCTGCTTTCGTAGGATCGAAATCATGGTTTCGACCGATTCTTGTGGCTTACTTGAGACAAATTTCAGGTGTCAATTTGGTTAAAGTTGAATGAAGAAATAAGCGTAGATGTGTTAAGTGAAGCGTGTAAAAATACTTCTCTATGATGAACGAAATGATAGTTCTTTGATATGCAAACGAGAAAGACCGTTGTTTTAATTTACACTGTGATGCCATGTTTTCCTTCCATTATTGTCGAATTATTGACTGATCGTGGGCCATATCTGTTCCCTTCTTACGTTCTCGGATTTAAAGATTCTACTTCTAAAGAAGTTAGTTCTTTTCAAAATTATTCATACTCAAGTTTTTATTACCTATTCTTCTTTCAGTTGGAAAGTTAAATTAACTCAGTGACACACTTTTTACCCAAGCACGATTATGAACGAATGAGAACATGGCGGCTCGTCCACGCATTCAAGGTATGTGAGTACATTTTAGTTTTGTGCACCTTTGAAATGTTTGTTGAACAATATTAAGTTCGTCGAAAGTTTGTTGCTATTAATTTTCCAGCAAATTTTTATTGTTTTTCACCAATTTTGTGTCAATCGACATTTGCAATAAGTACAGTCGTGTCTACGCGCTCATTCCGAGAAGGAGACGCGAAGGTTTTCTTCAGTTTTCATCGAGAAGGCGCTATTAGTTTCTACTTATGTTTGAAATTGAAGATGTGAAGCTAGTGTGCTTTAGAGTACTTTAAAGATCTGCAGCTTTTAACTTAGCTAATCAGTTGCCTTCGGCGACCAATTGTTGATTCCTTCCTTCTTCCTTCAAACAAAGGACAACTGTATTTCAAATTCAACCCAGCCACCAAGTATCAAAACCGACACATGGAAGCTGTATGTCTTGCGTTCAGTTGCTAGCTTTAGAAAAGTGAGAACAGAGCTTGGAACTTTAGAGACTGCAGCACGTAATATGTTGCCTCCGCTGTCCTAAGTCTCGAAAGTGCTGATAAGTTCTTGGCGAGCTCACTTTACTGGGCAACTTCGAGTTCTGTCGACTCTATCATTCATTGTCTGAGCGGCACGTATTAATATTGGACAACTGACTGAAAGTTGTGCAGTTGGTCGTAATAATATCGGACAACTGCTGGAAAAGATAGAGACATGATTGTATTTAAAATTGTACAGCATGAATAACCGATGGTATAATGTTTCCACGATGTTTGGCATTTGCACTGAGACTGCAGACTACATTTAGACCTAAATATCGCTCCAGTTAGCTTGAATATCCCTCAGATTAGCCTGAATAGCACTCAGGTTAACCTGTTTACGGTTAGCTCTCGGTATTAAATGGGAATGTCAAAGGATAAAATTGAAAAAAGCAATAGTAAATAACAATAAGGTTACTGCACAATTTGGTACGTTTTGAGTCGTAAGAGAGACGTTTTAACGGATAGAATATACATCAAAGGGTTCAGCGACTTATGGGCACAATCGAACAATACGGCCTCAACTTGACTCTTACGACAGCAGCGCGAGATTTTTGTAGTGAACGATGGTTTAATGTGTTTCCCAAAGCCAATGCTTTGTCTAGAGTGTTTTTTAACCACGACTGAAATTTTTCCTTTCCTCGCTCATGATAGGAAGGTCTTATGGACAGAAGCGACCCCCATTAACTCACATTCTACAAAGCATCCTCGACCGGTACCCGGATGGAGGACAAATCTTGAAGGTATTCAATGATCTTTAAAATAACCAAAGCGAGGATTCTTGTTCTGTTAGAAACAATGATAAAACCTCAGCATGTTCCTAGCCTGCACTCTAAAAGTTCTTCATAGAAGAACTTTTACATGTTTGGAGGCACAATTTGGCTTGGAACCCTTTGGCTAATTGTCAAAAGATATGATTATAATTTGGCTAGTAGCATAGGCTCGGTTACATTTCACAGAACGAAACATAGGTTTGACTACATTACCCAATCGTTTCTAAAAAGATGTTTAAATATTATGCATCAGTTAAGTATTAATATTTTGCAAATCGAGGTTCATTATTGGGGAAACATTCAAACACATATCAAATCCATGGTAGCTTATTCTCGTTCGCTTTTAATTTTTCACTGCATTTTAATTTAACATTTGCTGCACCAGAAACTGAACCAGTGGCGCAAGATAATATTCAGATGTACAACATAGAACTGCACCATGGTCGTGCATTTAGGCACGTTCATTTACTCCCACATAATTTGATTTTTGTCGACAATTATCTTTATTTCTTGTTTCCTATAACATTGACCTGTTTTTTTCAAAATTTTGACATTTGAGTTACTTTAACCTGCAGTGAAAGGGTTAAATAATAAAACCATAGTGTTGGGCATGGGCCCCTGATAAATTGAATAACAGTGAAGAGATGCTTCAAACAGTAGTATGTGTTTTTCTGATGTGACAATGCAAAAGCTGAAGCCTAAATGTAAAATCGATTGAGCATTGGCCGTATTTGCTAAGAAGGACGACTGTATAATACGTCTCAGGAGTATAATGCATCTAATATTAAGTGCGTACAGGTAAATACGAGAAACAAAACATTTGCGTTGAAAGAGCTATTGTAAGAGGTGCTGTCTGTCGGTCGCTTGGTTTCAAATTCTATGTTGTTGTGCGGATTCACAAGTCAGATAAGTACGTCTGTTTTACGCTGATCTCGTTTTAACCAAGAAAAATTACTCGTCTAAGACGTTTAATACGTCTGTTTAATGCGTCTTCTAGATGTTTTAAATTGTTAATTTCGTCTCACGTTTAACAATGCATCTTATTTTTCGTATTTACTTAGACGTCTTAACCTGCGTTGCAGCCGCACGTGTATAATCCGGCAGTTTAGACTGTTTGCGACGCAGGCTAAAACATCTAAGACGCAATAAATATACCTCGGAGACGCATTAGTCGTCTGCCCGGGTAAATACGGCCATTGTTACACCTGTATATTTTTCGGGAGAGCAGCATTTTCAATACGGACTGAAAACTGACCGAGGAATTTGAATATTTTAACCTTTTTACCAAGAAATGCTTGTTACAGAGAAACAAATACTTGAATATTCGTGGATAACCAGATGAGAATAATGAAAAGTAACAGTAAAGTACTCTGGTTCAGTTTCCTAATTCAATTCAATTCTTTGCATATTTTAGGAAATTATTCAGAATGCAGATGATGCAGGGGCCTCGAAGGTATCCTTCCTCCTTGATTCGCGCCCAAGCTTCTACGGAAGGGACTCTTTGTACGAGCCCAGCCTTGCTCAGTTCCAGGGTCCTGCGTTATATGCACAAAACAATGCTCTCTTTGAGGAAGGTGACTGGGAAAACCTGGAAAGGCTAATGAGAAGCAGTAAGAAAGATGACCCGTTAAAAGTGGGCCGATTTGGCATAGGCTTTAACTCTGTTTATCACATGACGGGTGAGTTCTTGAAAAGGTAACTGATAAATGATTGATTAAAAGCCGAGATCCTAATGCTGCCGTGTACGTTTCATCGGCCACCCATCCGCGTTCCCTTTTCCACAACATGGAGAGTAAGTTCCTCGACAGCGAAGAACAATCCCCGGCGCTTAAGTATTTGTCAGAGGCTGCTTCTGATGCAAGCAATCCAAACATCGTCTATCCTTTGCAGCTCGTCAAACTTAACAAAACCATCGCAGTTAATCTTCTACGACAAATGTTGCCTCCAAGTTGGTTTGGAGCAGATCATCTGGTTTCATGGAATCCAGGCATAAACGGGCATCCGCCAGAAACCTGGTTGGAGTTTGTATGGAGATGGATCCAAAATGTTTTTGCTACTGATCTCTCCTCTTTTCATGACTTCCCTCTCATTCCTCACGCATGTGCGGGACGTCGCAGCATAGTGAAGCTTAAGACATCGAGTTTGGCTATCAGACAACACAACCAGGGTCTATCTTTACAGCCACTTATTGTTTCCTTGCTTGGAAAAATGGGCTGCATTGTTCTGGTAAGCCTTCCACCTTACGTACGTCACAATGCCTTACACAAGTACATCGCCTCTCCCAACATTCAAGGCGTCCTGAGAATCTTTCAAGCACTTGGCAAAGACAGATGTGTTTCGATGATTTCCTGCTGTTCAGCAGACGAGAAACGAGCACTAAGAAGATTTCTCTCTTCAGAGTATTTCAGTCCTGATCAAATAGGCCTCCTGCTGCACCTGCCGATTTTTGACGCAGCTGATGGAACATCCTTCATTCCTGTAATGGAAGGATGGCAAGTCCGTACGGTTTTTCCATATGGTTTCCAGCTTCCTCATTCCTTGCCAGTTCCCAATGCTTCCAGAATCATACATCTAAAGGATTCCGAGTCGTATACTCTTCTTCAAAGGCTTGGAATCTCTGTGACGATCCCAGCAACCTTCCTGATCTCGAC